CTGCCCAGCCTTGAAATCAACTGGTAACATGAGCTCCTTTTTATCGTATTTGTGTTCTTTAGGTTTCTTCATTGGCTTGATAAGGCAGGCCCACCCCTCCGATCGCAACGTCCACAGAAGTTCGAACACGTTCTTCTCTAGGTGAGGCACGCCCTCACGAGCCCTCAGCACAGCCTCGCGACGGTTCAATACATTAGTGAAGTGAATACTGGCACGGGCTTCCTCCGTCAATCTCCACTCGTTGAGTCCACCTTCCTTTTCGATAACTTGGCCGCCCCCTTTGAGAAATTGCATGCATGCCAACCGCTTATCATAATTTTGATGGCCAGGAAGAAGCGTGTATGTACCGGGGAAGTTCTTCAGCAGCTCGTTGATGACATCCTGCATTTGCTCCTGCAAAGCTGGTGGAATCGACCGCGGGGGCAAGCCGAAATCAGCATGTACGTGAGGTTCAACTCTCCACAACCACATTTTGCTTATGTCGGTGAAGCTTAGCATTCCGCCAGTGAAAAGATGGAAATCTTCCGACGCTGAGCCATCTTGACATTCCAGATCTAGATACACACACTTTGTCTTCACATCAATAAAACGTACACTTGCCATCTGCACCACCATAGCATCGGTTTGTTCAACCTTAGGGGCTCCAGGACAAACAGGCCGACTGGCAGGGTGCAAATCCAAAACTCGGAAGAAAGTTACATCGCCTGTAAATTTGTTCTTGTCGTGATGTGTTGAGCCCGCATCATCCACAATCCCAGGTGCAATCGAAAAGTCAAATGCAGGCGCACCTGTTTCTGCGCGTACCCCAAGGATGTCGTCGCTCAGGGGGCTCGGGTTCACGAGTTCTGCTAGAGGCGTGAGGAAGAAGTCTGTCGCAGTCGAGAGCTTCGGCCCAATGGAAAAAACGAACTCTTTCTTTGAATCATGCTGAATCAGATCTCGTAAATGCGAAACTGCATACTTGACCCACAATTTGTCGTGTACCTCGTTCTGGGAATGGTTTTTGTCCGATGGTGGTTTGCTAAACGTACTGGCGATGCCTTGGTCGCCGCCGCCTCCATCGCCTGCGCCCCCTGGACTGCCTCCGCCAGGGCCGCCGCTGCCAGCGCCGCCACTGCCAGCGCCGCCGCCGCCTCCACCAGCCGGAGCGGCCCCTCCTGAGCCGCCGCTGCCACAGCCCGGGCCCCCCGAGCCGCCAGACCCAGACGAACCGTTGTTGCCGGCCCAAGCGCCACCGCCGCCTCCCTCCGGGCCGCCGCTTGCGCCCAACTGCGGAGGAGGAGGGGGGGGCGGCCCATCGCCACCGCCGCCACCTCCACCGCCCGGACCGCCTCCCCCGCCATCCCACGGCAGGGGTGGCAAGGGCATTGGCGGCGGCAAGTCCATGTACAATGTTCCAGAGTCAACGTGGTACAGCAACTCCGTGATCCAGGGGCGAACCCAACGGTTGAGCGAAGCAAGATCGTGTTTTTGCTCTTCCAATATTTCGGAGTACACTGGATGTTGGTTCATCCCCATGGTCTCCATTGCCGTCCTTGGATTCCGAACTTGGATGCATAGCGTCGCTAACCTCTGCAAATTGTGGGGGTCGACATTCAAGAAGGCCTCTAGCAATGGAACCGAAGCCGTCCAGGCGGTGTGAACTGCAGAGCTGTGACGGACCGACCTCAAGTGCGCCTGTAAGGTGACGCCAAATACTTGTTCGTGTACGAATACAAACGAAGTCACTTTAGGAGCCGAGAACCCAGTTCCTATCGAGACGCATTTTGCGACCAGGAGGCTGCGCCCACAGTGCTAGGCGAAAAGACGGATCACGCTGTGAGAGAGCCCCCCCCAGGACGGCCCCCAGGAGGGCCGCTTCCACGCCGTAACGGGTGACACGCGCGTGTCGCCCGTTACGTCCCTTTTCCCCTCGTCCCCGCTCGGGCCCCAAGACGGCGCGAGAAGGCCGCTCGACGGCTCCACGACGGCCCCAAGAGGCCCCCTCTGACGGCCAAGAGGGCCCCAAGACTGCCCAAGAGAGCCCCAAGACGGCCCAAGAGGCCTCAAAACGGCCCGAGAAGTCCCCAAGGGGCTCCCCACAGGAGCCCCAAACAGCCCTTCCTCATCGTCATCGTCGTCGTCGCCATCGCCATCGCAATCGTCATCATCATCATCATCATCATCATCATCATCATCATCATCATCATCATCATCATCATCATCATCATCATCATCATCAGTATCATCATCATCATCATCATCATCATCATCATCATCGTCATCATCACCATCATCATCATCACCATCACCGTAGCCATTTTGTCTCAAGCCATTTTGGTTCAAGGGCTCAAGGGCTCAAGCCGCAGCAAACGTACCCACATTTCAAGCCGCAGCAAACGCACCCACATTTCAAGCGTCAGTCAGAGCCGAGCCTTGCGGTGCCCATATAAATCCTGTGTGAGCTGTGTGTGGCTGGTGTGATCCCGATGGCTGGTGTGAGCGGTGCGAAGAACAGCAGCACGTTACGAATGCCAATATTTCAGCTTCCTGAAAAAGATCGATAAGAAGAATTGGGCGGGCGGAGTTCACCAACCTCGCGTCCAAGGTCGATGGCGTCGATGCGAAGGCTGAGCAGGCCATCGCCGTGGCCGCCGAGGCCAAAGCAATCGTGATTGTTCAGATGCACGCACGATGGATCTGGCAATGCAATGCTCATGTGATTGTATCGTTGTATGTGCAGGAGCACGTGCGATCATTGCCACCTAGTCTTATTGGGGTTTGGGTCTGGGTCCTCGTTTTGAGTGGATCACTTGTTGTACCGAATGCGAGGCCGCAGCTTTTTGGGTGACGGGTGTTTGCATCATATTGTGATTGGCCCTATTTTGTTGCGCGCAGGCGCTACCACCCAATAGATGAACGTACCACGTTGTTTGGCCCTCGCATTGTAGACGCGTCCAGTCCAATTATGTTCCTCCCTTCCTCCCCCTCCTCTCCTTCCTATCCCTTAGCGAATTGTTCCTCTCTGCTTGCTCTTGTCGACTCCCTCCCCGGGGCGCTGCCCTGATCGCAATTGCCCCCAGTACCTGTCGCCTCTTTCGTGCGCCCAGGGACGTCTAGCGGAGTGTCGTGGTGGGCGCTGCCAAGAGCGCAACTTCGCCACTTTCCTGCGCTCCAGGGCCCCACCCCCTGGCCCCCCTCCCAAAAAAGAAGATGTCAACGCCCAGGGCCTGTGCTTGCGCATGCCGCCCTTCGATCCAGCGCTCGCAGACGCTTGTGAAGCGATACCGCCCACACTGCCTGGAAAGAAATGGCAAGTCTAGTCGACGAGCCCGACGGCCCACGAAGTCTATGACCTGCGCCCGGCCTGGGCCGAGTGGCGAGAGCATGAAGTGTGAGTGGTAATGATGTTGAGCTTGGCCACCGGCGCCCTGATACAACTGAAGAGCCCTCTCCCCGCATGCCCGTGCTACCTCATCATTGGAGTGGGCGAGCCCAAACAGCACATGAGGGAGTTGCCGCCAGAAACTGCATTTAAGCTGCATCGCAAACAAGATGTAGCGGCGCGCGTGCCCGAAATCATTCAGTACAGTCGCGCGATCATTGGCGCATAATGCCAGAAAGCCTGCATGCAAGGCGATGGCACCTCGGGACCTCGGGTGGAGGAGGACGCGCCGCTTTTTGCGCGAAGCGCGATTATCTTCGCGCTCGCGCGCGGCCACCCCAGGGAAACGCAACGCTCCAGTTCAGGCCGCGAAGCGCGAAGCGCAATTATCTTCGCGCCCATGCGGGTGGTCTAGAATACTAACTCCCGCGCACAGACCATGCACGTAGCAGCCGTGGACACCCAGATGCACACATGCATACACATGTTCATGCAGATGTGCACATTTCCCAAACCCACACATATACGCACATACAATGTGCGCGTGTATCTGCACCATATCATATACGCATAACAGTAAACGAATTGCTTCCATCGGCCGCTACATGCGCGTGAACGGGCACGCGGCCCTCCCCCATCCGAAACCTTGAGACGTCTGGGCCAAGCCACGGGTAATTCTGATGTGTTCTCCAGCAGCGAATTCTGGAGCCATCATTCCTGCAAGGGGGCACGTTTTTTGCGATGTGTCTTGTTGGAGTTGCTGCCGTCGCGCGTGCCGCGCCAGCCCTCGCAGTCGCAACGCGCCACGATGGCACGGGCAGGTCTCGGATAAATTCGATAAATGTTCAAGGAACTCCCCAACAGTATCGATCATGAAACAGTAGACCCAAAATAGTGGACTGTTGATCCCCTCATCCACGACATGCATTCTCACACCGTGGCCCTCGCCCTCGCCATCGTTGCCATCCTCGCGCAGCCCGCCAGCTTGGTTGTAAGCAGCCAGCGACCAGAATTGGCGCAGGATCTGTTCGCCGGGCAAAAGGTCGCCCACTGCATGTACGACGGTGCCCCAGCGCCCTTCTTGAACGTGAGTGTTGAATCCATCGAAGAAGCCAAAATGCTGAAAAGCATGAGGCGCTCTCAGGCAAGTTTCTTTGAAACGCTTGCGCGTCCACGATCTGCTCAACATGCGACAAATATGAGTAAGATATGCAAGAAACTGCGAGCACCACTCCAAATGAGCAGACAGATCTCTCGTGATGTTGCTAACGATGTGCAGCATGCCAGGCACGTAAATGCTGGTGCAGCAGTTCACGTCGTACGGGTCTGGTGGTCTAGGAAAATCTCCATCAGCTTCATGTTCGCCGTCGCCCCCGTCGCCAGCGCCACCCTCGTTCGCCTGGCCAGCGTGCTCCTCGAAAATAAAATCATCTGGTCCAGCTGCAAGGCCATCGACGTCGTAGCCGCCATCGTCGGCGCCAGCTGCCATTGACTCGTCGATGCCAAATGTGAAATTGCCTTCGTCTGGTACCTGCGGCAATGCTGGTAAGCTGCGCTCAATCCTTGTAGGGCTGAGAATGTGGACTCCGAGAGGCCCAGAGCGGGGGCAACCTCTAAGGCCACTCAGGCCCGCCTCTCAGCCAGCGAAGGAGGCAAGCGTCAGCATACTTGCACTGGGTATTTCACTCATGCCCGGTCGAGGCGCCGGGGGGGCATCTGCTTGGACGACCCACTCGCCAAACAAGGTGCGCATGCTCTCGGCGAACTGCGTGATGCCCGAGTCAGTGCCCAGGTCGCCAGTCCAAGCGAAGGTCGATGTGATGAGTCTTGCCGCCCCCTTCCACGATGAGGATGTCAGGAGGCAACCGTGAACAAGAGCATGCATCTTGCGCCGCAGCGAGCTCTTGCCAGAGCCCACTCCGACTGGCACCCCAGCACGAAGCTTCAAAGCCGAAGCCAAACGTCCAAAGCGGACTTGCAAAGAACCATCTTGCTGATCTGGAGGAAGGGCGGCCATGCGAATCACTTCCAGCGCATCCTCAAACCGAGCAGACAAGTCATATGCGGCCATGGTGACGCTGCCGTGGTAGAGGAGATCGTGGTTCGCTTGCTGGCTGCTGTCCAACGTGCCCCACCTGCACGCGCCGCCTGGCCCATTCAAAAGCTCTTCGGTGTGCTCAGCGACCAGGCGGCAGAATCCCAAATGAACTGTGAGGCGGTGTCGATAAATGCTTGTGGCCGAAGGTATTCGACGGGGTTCGTCTAGGATATTTCTGTAGTATTGTCGCACACTGTCTTGAATCACCGACGCTGCGAGGGCGCGTGCGACGGTATCGCGAAGCCGATGCGCATCCTTGCCCAAAGCTGCTAGCATCAGACAGTTGATGAGGTGCTCCATGCGGTGCGCTTTCTCACCGCGCATGTGGGAGTGGCGCACCACGTCAGTCCTCAGCCGCTGGGCCCAATCAACATAGAAGGTCACATCGTTGGCTTGCAAAGGATTGTTCTGGACCAAGAGCTGCATTGTGTTGATCAAGCCCTGAAGCAAATCGGGCGACAAAACATGCGCAGGGTTCTGATCATCCTCATTATCATCGACTTCTGGCCGGTCACCCAACATGATATGCCGAACTAGGTGGAAGCCTGCGCCACCGCCATGTTTGCCCGTCGTCCAGGGGATACAAAAAGATCTCCATTTGCCTTCAGATATCAGCACAGCTGTCGGCACGTGTAGCGCGATGCAACATCGAAGCTGTCCAACGTCGTTTGCATCACCATCCAAGAGCTGCCCGTGCCGGGCTGCCCATGCATTAAAAGTTTGCTCAACGTTGCGGTCTCCATCAAAAATGGCGTCGCCCAGGCGTCGCCGCGATGCCACGCTCATTTGAAAAAATGTAGCCCGTGGGCGCGCCCCCCCCAGATGCTGAAATACCCGGCAAGGCTGCTGCAACATTGCCACATCGACAACCTCGAAAAAAAACAATGGATCTTTCACGCCAAGCCGCCGCCAGAAATCTTGGTGTAATATTTGCTCGTCTGTTAAATACGTAAGCGGGGATGGACTCCAGAGCTCCTTCACCTGGGTACCGGCAAACATCTCCCACAACATCCACTGGCGTTGTTTTAAAACGATGCTCCTCATATTTGTTGGGGGCCCAAACCAGAAGTAAAACAGCACATGCCAAGGGGGGGGAGAGGGCCAAGAGGGCGGCAAAGCGACAACGAAAAAATAATCGAATTCAGTTTAGTTCGCATTCAGGGGACGGAAGGGGATGTTTGCCGTGAGGGCCACCAATATCAGGCTTAAGACGTGGCCCTCTAGGTTGGCCAGCTGGTCCGAGAACTCATCAGCAGAATGATCGGGCCCGAGATGTCCAAGGAAGGGCGATCCTGTCAAGGCAGCTCGCACCCCCGCTGGGAACACATGCGAATGCAGCACATACCGCCGATCCGCCCCCAATCTAAACCGGTCAGCGGTTCGCACGAAGCACCATGCCGCTTGCAAAGGCATGCAAAAGACGGTGGAGGAGGACGGACGGCAGGGGCCGAAATGGCCATGGAAGGAGGAAAGGAAGGGGGGGGCCAAGAGGAGGAGGGGGTCCCTCCCTGCGCTCTGACACTTGCATTTTTCCCGAGCCCCCTGGGAGACAACCCCCTCTGCGAGCCGGCCGCAGAAACCAGGGCCCGTGACGAATTGCCACCTCGACGCCTGCAGCCGCCCCTAGAAGCCCAAGGAGGCGGCAGCCCCCCCAGCGGCTGCGCGGAGCTCGGCGAGAGTTGCAAAGCGGCGACGCTCGGGGAGGACGACGCTCGCAGGGGTATCAGTAAAGGGCGGGTTAGGGAATCTGCGACATGCAGCAGAACCGGAGGCGACCATGTATCGAGGAGAACGCCCGGCGGCGGGGCCGAAGCCAGCAGCGTGCAGCAAGTTTCCTGGCCCCGAGTTCCCCCCCCCCTGCCGCCCCCGCCGCCGCCGCGGTTTTTGTCGTCGTCGGCGGCGGCGGCGGCGTCGTGGTCAGCATGTTCGTCGTCGCCGTCATCGTCGTCGCGGTCTGCGTCGGCGTCGGCGGCGTCGTCGTCGTCGAGGCGGGGGGGGGTAGAGGAGAGGAGGAATAGCGGAGGAGGTTCAGTGTCTAGGGGGGTTGTTTTGGACCCGTGCTGGGCTGTTGCGGGCTTTACCAGGTTGGACATGGCGATTCCACCTCCGATGTACCCCGCGCCTGCCATGGTGCGTGGGCAGCCGAGTCTCTCTTCTGCGCCAGCAAGCTCCCTGTGTAACTGGCATATGGAGCAGTCTCCCAGGCTCAGTTGACTGATGTCCGCGGGCTTGACTATCACTTCCAGTGCGCGCGTGGGGGCTTCGAGGGTGAAGCCATGCCCCAGCATCTCTGTCGACTTCTTAGGGCAGGCGTGGACGGATGCAGCGAGGTGATGGTGGGCATAGGTGGCCAGCGTGCTGATGTGACGGATGGCGTCCTCCATCTTGACGTGGAGGGAGGCGAAGGCACCCAGGTTGAAGCCCCAGGTGGCGGCGAACTGGGTACGGAACTCCTTGTGGGCTTCCTGCCAGGGGAGGCAGAGGCCCATGGCGGCCTCAAATATGTCCCCCGTTGCCTCAGGTTGCGGGAATGGCGAGAGCGTTGCGCGAGGTTCCCGGAGCTGCAACGTCATTACCACCAGGAGGACTCTGAGCGTGGGGGTGTCAAGCGGGAGCCCGTCGCTTCTGCAAAGGGTGTGTCTGAGCGTCGAGTTGGATTGGCCTGGGCGGAGCAGGGAGTGCAGGTGCTGCATCCCAGGGTGCACCCTATGTCGCTTGCAAGCGCCCGTATCTGGACTCCAGGCCGCGGGGAATTGGGGGAGCACGTCGTCAGGAGTGCACCAGCTGGTGCGCTTGGGGCGGTGGTTAATGCCTTTCGCTTTGGGCAATGGGGGGAGTGAGTTTAGCGGGGCCTTGTAATGGGAGCTGGCCCAGGGAGTGCCCAGCCCCAGGAACCAGACCAGGGCCGCCCACGTCAGGTTGTAGACAAGGTTGCTTGCGCCGATCCCAAGCTCAACGTCCGTGCAGTACCCGAGGTGGCTCCGTGCTTTCCGATCGAGGCTGCCGGGCAGCCTCGGGGCGGCGCCCATGGACCATTGGTGGGGGTGGAGCCCGGCCACGGTATAAAGGATGACTCCCATTGCCGTGTCCTCGACCAACCTCTGCAGGCTGCCTGCGATGGCTTCGCCGAGCTTCTCCCAAGAGAACCGGGGGTCGAGCGGGGCAGCAATGCGGTCGGCGAAGTTGTTCTCCATGGAGGCCTTGGCCTTCTTGGTGGCGCCGTCGAGCCCTTTTATGGCGTCGCCCCCAGTGCGGGAGGGGGCCTCCGGAATCCACGATGCGAGGTCCTCGATGGGGTCGAAATCCTCATCGGTCTCGAGCGTCCACCTTGAGCCCAGGTCGTCACCTTTGAAGCGGACCCATAGCTTTGCGAATCTTGCATGCTCTGACAGTTCCCGCAGGCGGGCGCCTGTGGCTGTGCCAAACATCCTTCCGTCACCGATGATGACCACGTTGGTGGTGGCGCGGGTGATTGCTACGTTCACCCTGTTGGTTTTTTCCATGAATCCCCAGTCATGCCACTTGTTGGACCGAGTGGTCAGGTATATGACCAGGTCGGCCTCGCCACCCTGACTGGAGTCGATGGTGGAGATGGCGAGCCTGCCGCTTGCAAGATGCCCATCAGCAATCTGCCGTAGTCCGGGGAAGCGCAGGGCGAGACCGGTGAGAGGAGCACTGTGCTGTACGAACACGCTTGCGTGGTCCCTGGTGTCAGTGGCGCATGTTGGGAGGTGGGAGGGAGGGGGGCTCGCAGTTCTGTGCTGACCACTCCTTGCCCTTCCCTTTGCCCTTGGCCTTGGCTTGTCCGATGGTGCCGCTGATGCTTCTCCCTGACTGGGGCCATCCCTTTTCCAGGACTGCGCACTGCAGCTGGTGCCCCACCGCGACCCGGACAGTTGCGCCGTTGTCAATGGCAGGCAGGAGTGCGCGCACGATGTCCACAGCCTGCGCGGCCTCCGGCAGGTTCGCGTACCCTGCGTGGAGCCTTGAGGTGACCTCGAGGGAGGGGTTGTCGACAAGGAGGAACCGGTGCCGCTCTTCCTCGCGATGGGAACCTGGCGTAAGGTCCCGCAGCATCTTCTCCATGTCTTCCTTGGGGGTGGCCGTGGCCTTGGCAAGTGCTTCAAGCCTGTCGCTGTCCCAGGGCCGTAGCCTCTGCCATGGTAGTCCCTCGATAAGAGGCCTCTGGGTAAAAGGGGTCAGTGAGTCCAGGGCGCATTGCGTCTTTGTAGAAGGCTACGTTCGGCCATGTCAGAAGTAGGGGGCGCGTGCGGTAGCGGAGGCTCAGCTGGACCACGGCTGTCGTTTCGCCCCCCAAAGCGTTGCGTAGCCGATCGAAGATGGAGAGGCAGAGCCCGAGATCGGCAGCCTTTCTGGAAAGGACAGTGGGGGGGAGCTGTTTAGGGTCACCGACCAGCACCAGGTGCCCGCCTGAGCGGATGGCGCTCTCGAGCGACATGGCGGCCATAAGCTCACGGGCTTGCCCTGCCTCGTCGATGATGAGCAAGGCTACCGGGGCAGCATTCCTGAGGGCCTCCGCGGATTCGTGTGTTGCAATGATCGTTTTGGCGGCCTTGGGGAGCTGGGTGCGGAATGCGGAGAATACTTTGGAGGATCCTCCTTCGGCTGGGGGCCTACCGTGCGCCCTGAGGAAGTGCCCTCCCGGGGTGGGCGGGGCTAGTGCCTTCGCCACTCGGAAGTCTCTGGCCAGACGGACGCATATGGTAGGGTAGCCTGTCCTATGCTTTAGTCTGCTATCCAGGTGTGCGTTGCCGAGACCGAGAGCTGGCTGATCCGCGGCTGTGTTGGAACCCGCGGCCTGCGCCGCCGCTTGTCCTTCAGGGAGTGCGTCAGCCCACGTGCCCATGGTGGCGACTGAGAAGACTGTCTTGCCGGTTCCAGGGGGTCCGTGCACGACTGTTGCGTGGTGTTGCTTGGTGGCGGCGAGGGCCCGCGTGGCGTCGCAGTTGAGTTGGTGGCGCCTGGCGCCTTCCTCGAGCGCCGCGGTCGATGGTAGGTCCCTGGCCCGTTGACAGACCTGCCCAACTGCATTGTCCACTTCATGGTCGGAGAAGGGGGTGATGGCCGGTGCCTCGGTCGGGTGATGCGACGCTGCCGCGCCGCTGCCCGCCGCTGTGGGTGTCATGCTAGGGGCCTGGACCTCGATGGTGGCCTTGGGACGTGAGAGGAGGGTTTGCCCGCAGAGTAGGGTGTTCTCCACGCTATTGGCCAAAGTCTTGTTCTTCTTGTCGGCAGTGCGGAAGGTCAGGAGGTACGTGATGACGTCCAGCGGCGTGCCAACCAGATCTGCGGGGTCCTGCTGCAACTTGTAGATCTCGGTGAGAGAGGTAGCGATCCGCCGGTACTGTAATCGAGGGGGCGCCCTGTCCAGCCTGTACCACGCCGTCCCCACCTTGCTTGGCCTTGGGATCCTGTCGTCAGCGTGGGACTTCCCGTACCTGTCCTCGTCGTATGTCACAAAGCCCTCGTTGCTGGGGTACTTGGTTCCCCGTCTGAGACCCAACGCGTCGCAGTCGCTATTGGGGGCAGCACCTCCGAAGTCGGGTGGCCACAGGAGTTTGAGCGATGCCACTTGGTCCGCAGATGGGCAGGTGATGCTGAGGAGTAGCGTGCGGGCTTCCTGCCCTGATTCCTGGCCATTGAGGAGGACCTTGAACTCTTGGGACCACTGCAAGTGCAGCAGCAACTTTCCCTTCTGGGTTGGTAGTGCATTCCGCAACTTGGGGGACTGCTCATCAATGGGGGTGACCGACGCGCCTAGCGCGCAGCTCTGCCTTCTTACCAAGTCTGTTTTGGCCTTGGTGGAGCCGTCCCAGACGGTTTCAGTGGCCGCCATGCACTCGATCCAAGCCAGCCTGTCGAGGGTGCGCCCTCTTTGTCGTGGGTCTTGCTCCCAATGCCTTGGAAGGTTCACGCCCGAGTGAATTGAGCCAGAGGGGGTGTGAAGGAGATGTTGGGCTGCTGCGCTGTTGGTGGGGACTGCGAAAAGTCGGGTAATGGCGTCAGCTGCTGCCGCGGCTGTTGACTCGAGTAATACCTTTCTGTTCATTGAGGTGGGGGCGTCTGGCCAGCTGTGTTGGTCACTATCTCCGTCGCGTCTGGGCCTGGTCCATGCCGCTGATTCCTGCGAGGAAGCCCTGCTGGAGGCATTGCCCCGTCCCTCCCAAAAGGTGCCGCGAGGCGGGGGGCCCTCCGAGCGGCGCAGCGAACGCATTTGGCGGGGGCGGTGGCGGCGGCGCCGTGGCCCCCCAGGCTCTGCGCGCGTCTCTGGGCGCCTTCCCCCATCCCGCCCGGCACTGGTTAGGCGGGCGCAGATCCAACGAGTGAGCGGTGTCAGGGGTGGTGGTGAAATCGAACAGGTCGTCGCGGTACGGGAAGTTGAGTGGGGCGCA